TTTATTTATTTACTTGTTATTTATCCATTTATTTATTCTTAACCTGAGCTGGGGACGGTAGTGTAAGTTTTGTCAATTCAGACTTCTTCCTTTAATTGAAGCCAATCTGTGCTGAAAAGCCGTCGTTGGTAGTGCGCATCTCTCCACTAGGAAGTCACCATCATCATCGACAGCATGACATCAGTGTTCAACACCGATGTTTGGCTGCCGTTCACCCGTGATTTATTTGAAAGCCTTATTGTGAAGAAAAGAATAAAGGTGGGTGGGGAGGAGACTCAGGGAATCTCTAGGGGGTCTCGAACTCGCAACTTCCCGGGTGTGTGTGATCGGCCATCAGCAGCTGATTAGCAGGGAAACCACGTGGTGACCTATTGATTGAATGCATGTTCTGGCTGATTGAGACACAGGTTGTGCTCTCTCTAGGAACGTGGTTTCAGTAAAAGGGCCCACCACGGAGAACCCTGCAGTATTGGTTTAAAAACGCACTCATTTGTTCATTTCAGGGGACCCAGTGAACCCGTTGAGTGATGTCTGGAGTCTTGGTCTCACGCTAATGGAACTGGCGATCGGGCGATATCCGATTCCCACAGTGGACGCCGTGGATTTCGTGCGGACGTTTGCTCCCGATTTGGAATCAAATATGATTGAACACTGGAGAGCGGCAAAAACGGGAGAACCACTTCAAGGTACGTTCATCGTTTCACTTGTCTATCACGAGGCCGGGTAAATAATGCATTGCTTCGTATTTTGCGCTGAGTTAAGGGTGTGCTGATTGAGTTCCTTTGGTCTGTGATCCTGTCTAGTTTCTGGGTGGGTCACACTGTCGATAGGCGTAAGTTCTAAACTGTTCCGATTATGCACCACAAATGAGAGAGACCGACCTCAGGAGAGACGATCCCTCAGAGCAGTGAGTTCCTCAAAGTGCGCATCAGACTTTCCCTTCCCTCCCCTCCTAGAACAGACCACCGCTCACGCTCGATTGCATGATGTCCTTTCCCTAAAGGAGCTAGTGCTTATCTGATTCTTGTGTTGTGATGGAATTCCTCGATTTTTTTATCTTCCGATTCCATCTAAGTGGTACTCACTGCTTTTGATGATTAGTCAGAGAGAGTTGATTTCATCGTCAAACCAATCTGTGCTGAAAAGCTGAGATCCTTATCGGAAATCATCAGACACTGCGCATCTCGCGAAATTCCCGGGAGTTTGGAACCCGCGACCTCTAAGCCAATGATTTGAACACTTATGGTTTATGGCTACAATCTTCTGCTTAGAACGGAGTGGATTGGAAATTTCTTAGCTTCACTAAAGCACGATGCATATCTAGTGCCTTCGGTTTCTCTAGCTGTCTATAAACAGTACTCATTACTTCACGAAAAGACGTTGGTTACTAAGTCACTGGACACGTGTCAGAAGTATGCCTGATGCCATCATCCTATCCTGCGAAGATGAGAATGCAGAACGGACGGAGCCAATTCAGTGAGTAAAGGTGTGGGGCAACAGGTTGACCCCACCGTTGGGTGTTTGAGCTCGTTCCATTCATTTTGTATGATTTGTTCTATCGCCCTGTCGCAACTGAGGCCGCGGGAGACTTCTCCTAACGGCACTTTAGTAAATTGTTATAAGCGGCTAGGTTCTACGGCGCCGCATTATCCTGAGATGGTCCCACTTTGAAGGCGACCGGCCACAATAATTTGGTCGTTATCTTGGAACGTTAGACTTCATCGAAGGTCGCGGAACTGGGCTGATCCCATCGAATGTCTAGTCGGTCGGATCTCCGATGATAGTGGTGAAACGGTTCCTCATTCCGGACGAAGTTTCTTTCAAAAAAAAATTCAATAACTCAATCTAGAAGTCTCGACATCGATCATTGTTTCCCATATGCTCAGCATCTCTTTTCAAGAAAGTTTTGTCTTGCTAAGTTGTTTGAACTCGGAATAACGCCTAATCGACTGTAAAGATGGACTTTTGTTTTTTCCAATGCAACCGACTTTGTTCAACAACACAATCCCCGTTTTTTGTGTCGTCTAGTCATCCATCTTATATCACACTGAAATGTCGTTTTGGTTTACCTGGAAAAAGAATCAGATACGATTACCACATTCACAAGTGTTTTCTTCGCGATATCAGTTCCCAGAAGTGCATTGGAGTGTGAGAGAGGTATTCAGTCTACGGCAACATCTCTTGGGCTATCTGATGACGGAGAGCGCGATTCATGGTTGATTTTAACACGGAATCAGCAATGTTGAAGTTCGTCGAATGGTATTCGGAAGAAATAACTCACCCTCGATAGATGAACTGATCACACTGCATAGGTTATGCTGGCTTGGTCACTTGCTGCGTATGCCAGTCAACCGACTTCCTCGTAGGGCTCTTTTCGCACAACCACGTGAAGGGTGGGGGAGAGTCAGAGGCGGTCAAACAATGACTCGGCAGCGAAGTATGAAAGCCATTATCAGCAAACTCAGCTGAGCTGGTCGCTGCCGTCTTCCTGGATGGGGACCCCGAGACGGGCCACATCAATGGCTAGGGACATTGTCAGACATGGCCCAGTCGCGCCCTCAATGGCGCTCGTGCATCCAAGTTATTGCCCTCAATGCATAGCTCCTTTTCCAACCCCCCTCACTTGACAGCCCACTGACGATGTCGCCCGCCTGCCAAGCCCAGCTTCCCCCCCCCCCCCCCAAATCATCGGTGAACGAAACTGCGGCAGCTACAATCACTGTGTGACGAGTACGCGGTTATTACAGCTGACAAACCAGTCCAATCGATTCTTTATTCGACCACAAGATGTTTATTAAGGAACAGTGCAAACGCAGCGACGGAACGCAGCCTTCCGGAAGGGTTGAGCTCTACGGGTGCCTATCCTTTCCCGGGTGTCTAACGCAACACAGCTGAAAACACTGGTCAGCCAGCAGTATAGGTTGGAGGTATAAAAGCGACACTTGGCAAGTTAAAAACCATTGAGGGCATAATAAGCTACTCATAAGGTTGCTGAAACCTCTTCGACAGCCTACGACCGGTTTTGCCCCGCTTGGGACTCATCAGGTAGGCGCACTCCCCCAGTTTTCGTCAATCTTATGTTCTAATTAAACCCAAATTGGAAAGATTTCGAGGAGCACACTAATTTGCGTATAATTTTAATTTCTACGGTTGAGTAAAGTGTAAAGTAACTTAGGTCGCATGCAAGGCTGTATCCCGATTTCTAGACTGCGTTGAAAACAATCTCGTGCAAATCGAGCTACTTATTTTCATATCAGTAGCAACAACTAATAGTAAATACTCAAATTCATTTCAGCTCTCGACGAAACCCCATGCCAACATATGAGTGTTTTCGAGCTGTTCGCCTGCATTGTGGAGAAGCCAGCTCCAAGACTTCCAGCCTACTGTTTCTCACGGGGTTTTATACAGCTGATTCATTCTTGTCTCCAGAAAGAACCATGCGATCGAATGAGTATAGAGTTGCTACGAAGCCACCTTATCCCACCGCTGCTAGAATTCCCCGAGAAGGATACCTACAGTCGTGCGACCCCGATCAAACACGGAGAGGAACGTTTGGATAAAGATTTGGACACCAATAGTTGCGAGATTTCAGTGGAACGCTACTTACGAGGGATCTTTGCGTATGAACAAAACGAAGCGATCAATGCGTTTGTTTCCGCTGTGGGAGATGAATTAGACGCCATTGACGCGGATGTATCTAGTACTTTGTCGTTGAATTTGCCATCCACAGGGCATCTTCTGGAACCCTCTGAATAGAATCACAAGTCGCAACTTTTTTTAATTTCACCGGCTGATCTTGTTGCGAAATCATCATTGTGATGGTCACTTTTTTATATTGATTATTTCATCGAATAAATCATCTTATTTTGCAGTACATTCATCGATTTTAATCTCTCTCTGTCTTTAGCTACGAGGGCAGTGTGACATGCAGAGTTAACGCACGAATCTCAGGCTCGAATTATCTTTGCTAACTGTGGCGCCAAAAGCTAGGTAACTAGGGTGGTGATTTAGGGCGTCTTCTGGTTTCTGACCATTGATGCCTCACCAGGATTAAGTCAGCGGATTCGTATTGGGATAATTAGGAACCGGAGGTGAGGCGGCCCAGTGGTTAGAGCGCGAATTTACTGACCAGAGGGTCCATGGTTCGAACTCGGCATCTTCATTTTGACTTCCTCTGTCTAAGCTTGAACAACCTTGCAGTATCTCAGCCCTCATGCTTCCTTCGGCTGGCATGGCAGTTAGGCACTGAAAGAGTGTTACAGCTGAGCGATGATTTCCCAATTAGGAACCGGGTATGTGGTTGTACAGCAGGTACTTCAATGACGGAAAACATCATCAACTGCGGTGACTCGGCCATGGGCTGTGCCTACCGGAACATCGTTCACCGAGATGAGTGTTGTTCTTCGTGCCCCCTTCAGAATGGCGCCCACTTCGTAGGACGGTGCGAGATAGATTGCGAAAAGTTTGAGTGTTGTTGGTGCGGTCCGCCATTCATGACGAGGTCTTTGTGCTCGATGCGCCTGCCTGTTGTTTTTTTTTTTGCAAAGAACGGCGTTCAGTGTATATCAAGTTCTTCCCAGATTGTGTGAGAGAGTGCTTGAAGGTTTGTGCACCTCACAGCTTATCACAATGCTTGTGAAAAATACAATGTAGGTATTTCGGGAATTTTAGATCACTGTTGCCAGGGCTGCTGTGCGAATTTACTGACCGCAAGGTCCGTGGTTCGAGCCCGACTTCTTTCTTCCTCTGTCTAGACAACCTGGCAGTATTCCAACCCCCGTGCTCCCTTCGGGTGGCATGACAGCTCGGCACCAATACGTTGTTACAGCTGAACGGTTATCTAGGACCGTTGTGAAACTCTGAAACCAGCTGACTCATAAATGATAGACATCCCCTAATAGGGCAATGAAGTATCAGTGTTGAATCCTGGTGTCGACGATGATTTATTCCCTTCCTGCGTTATCCTCGGTGAGAAGGAAGCCCTAAACGGGGTAATTCGTTCACAGACACCTCATCATCAATCGTGGTGACATTGTCAGTGCGTTACTAGGGAGCGAGGTGGAACGTAACCATAGGTCAGGGTTTGTTCCTCGGTTCGGGCGTCTCTGGGACTCGAGCGCCTGCCGGACTCAATCACTGACACACTGGTGCGCTTATTAACAACGCACTGATAATGTCACCTCGACTGCTGATGTAATATGTGCCGCTCGACAAGATAGAGAGGGAAGGTCCGTTAGAATAAAAGATTGCCAGTGAGTGATATGCGCAGAGGTCACACCATAACTTGGCAGTGAAGTTACCGAAATATGCTCGTTTGCAAACTAATTTGTTTTTTCGAGAGACTCACCTGGAACCCAGCTGAATCTCTCGTTTGTGATATTTCCAGGCAACCGAATGTGCTGCACCAGGCCGCCACATGTTTCAGTTGGTACAATATTCGAGATATCAAGATACATGTATAGAAGTAATGCACTACTCATAAGGTTGCTGACCCCCGTGGTATCAAAAAAGACGCTTGAGGGACATGAGGCCACTTTGACCCAATAGTCACAACGCAGTGTTAAATACCGGCTAATAATCTCAAATGAGGGTAGAACGCCTATACTGTGATTCGGCAACCGGCATTTGGCAAATACTCTGTCATGATTGGCTGATTGGCCAACATTTTCGACCAATCAGAGCTCAGCTTGATGCTGAACCACCAGGCGACCCGTTCGCGTTAGGCTTCCTGGCCGTAGCTGCGCCTAAATTCGAGCGGTACAGCCTGCTTGAGCGCAACATACAGAACAACGGACACTGTGTGGAGGGGAGCGTATAATATGGTTCAAAGACTGTGTTTGTGAAACGGATTGCTGTATCTCTACAGTGTAATAAACTGGACAGTGTGAGATTTGCGAATTTCAATGGAGATTTTGTCTTTTTGTACGTGAGGGCAGTCTATGCTGAAAAGCCGAGTAACACTGTACATCCGCCCACCCGCACGCCTCCGATCAATTTACTGCCCGATCACTTCGCCACCCCGTTTATTCGCCATTCCCGTGATGAAGTTACTCGGTTGCGTTAGTGATACACGCAAATATCTGATTTTGTTAGTTTCCCATCCCGCGCATTTCCCAGCACATACTTGCACAACATAGTTTAGCCCATGCAAGTTAATTCATCGAATTGTTCCGCGATACATTCGGTAGGCATCCGGTAATGTGATCTGGTTGGCTTATTAGTGCACTGTTGATGATTGCCATAATACAATTCAGAATGTATATGCACCAATAAAAGTTTTTAGTATAGTTGACAATGGTGAGATACCACACGTATGAAAATAAACACAATGCAAAATGGGAGCAAGTCAAAAGAGGAACTTATCGTCTGTGAGAGTTCCTTGGTGAAAGTCCGGACGGCGGGAACGTGTTTTCTTCGCAGTATGGCTGCTACACGTGTTCCGTAGTTGTCCGTGGGCTTGTGGAGAGTGGGTGACTTCCTGCTCCATGCGCGCGCGCGTCTGTGTGTTCTATGGTCGGTTCTCCTATATGTAGGTCCGTCTGCGTGTACGTGGGTGTTTCAGCACACGAGCTGTTGCTACGCTCACTAGACGGCACAGACAATCGATGTCCGATGAGTCACCTCAATGTGACGTGGTTTGTGAGTATGAAAAAAGACAAGCCTTGTGATCCAGTGAGCGACTATGAGCTGAACAGTCAAGTATGTGGGTGACCGGGTAGCTACAGGCTCTCTGTCACGTGAAACTCATGTTCGGTTCGTGCTATGCTCTGAATCGAAACAGAGTCCGCATCAATGATTGTTGAGCGAACACATCACAGTGGGTGATTTCTTTGGATTAGGACAACCGATTCAGACTGTGTGATATGCATACCGGATCCACAAAGTGACATCGTTCATATCCGTTTTGGTGAAGATGATCGCCTGATGAGCCCAGGCTGCACACATCAGGGCGGGTAAATTGATTTAAGCGACCGCGGACGCCCTGAATGTTTCTTCTCCTTTGTCACTTAATTCCTCTTCCCCTTGCGACTGTGAGGGGTCACCACGTGACCAAATCACATGAATTCGCCAGAAAAAAGGCCCTGACAGCTGACCTTTTGTCAGGTGTGAACTGTTCAGGTCCACTCATCTCGACATTAAAAGTTCGTTCTATCTGCACATCTCACCTCATGTCACGTGCCAGTCACATGGCACTCCACCGCATCCGCCGGTATGATTTAATGGTAGATCGAATGTCCTGAATCTGGGCCACACCGACCAAAATCCCGTGATGGCCCACCGAATTCCGTTAGAAACCTTTGAATAATCATACAAACAGAAACACACTACTTACAATTGAAGATTTTGGACGTTGCAACCAGCATAGGAACTAAATTGTTTTAGGCCTGGGCGGATCCTTCGTTCAGGACGCACAGTCTCAGTACACGAATTTCCGATCTTTCAGAACACTGCCAAATTTAGTATCTTTGGTCGTTTGCAGTTAGATGTACGGCATCGGAGTATTAGTTCAGGGAAATAGTGACAGGTGGATGCCCACAAATCACTTATTGCTCGGAGTGAGCGTCCGAAAACTGGTATGTGCGCAATTCTTGGACGGTTCAGAACAGACTAACTCGAGAAGCTAGATCGCTGCACTCAAATTCTCATAGGGGGAAGCTCTTGGCCACGAACTACGCAGTTAAAAGTCATTGAACAGGAAAGTAAGGGGGTGAGGTGGCTCAGTGACCGGGTGGTCCCTGGTTCGAACCCGACCTCTGCATCTCGACTTCACCTGTCTAGGCTTGGGCAACCTGGAAGTATCCCAGCTTTCATGCTCCCCTCTGGTTGTATGGCAGCCAGGCACCGAGAGGGTGTTACAGCTAAACGACAGGAAAGTAGACAACTCATATGCACATATTCTTTAAAAACTGAGCATTCTCACGCGTCCTCTTGGACTCTCTTAGAGTTCATTGAATATAAAACAATAACAAACAAACTCTGTTGTTCCATGATTTCCATAGAGATCTTAGCCTTCCAAGGGCAGAGCTTGGATACCAAACCGTAGACTACTTGCATGCTTCGTCAGTAGCCTACGTTGCTACAGCGGTAGCATGTGGACACTGCCAAAACCGGTGTTTACCCGGGGCTATGCATCGTCCGTGTTTATATATACATACTGCGCCTACCGGATGAGCCCCAAGAACGGCGAAACCGGTCGTGGGCTGCCGAAGAGTTTTCAGCAACCTTGTGAGTAGTTTGCTTTATGAAAATATACTTTGCTATATCCTAAGTGGCAGCCAATCGCACTGCTGTTCAGCCGCTCGTGGCCAAGCAGTTCAACCACTGAGGTCAAGATGCGCACTGGTGATGATTCCCCAGAAGGCCGACAAAGTTTAAAGTACATGTCAGCTTTTCGGCACAGTGTGGCCCCAACGGCAGGATGAGTAATCTATTGAACATCACCGAATCTCCTCCCATCACCATGAATCAATAAGCAGCTTCGATGAAGGAAAGTTTCACTGGATGTGTGGAGCTTCTGAAAAGTTTTCACTCAAGGAGCTGGTCAATACTTGACCACGTGATGTGGTTTCCGTGATTGAAAAATCAATGATGCTACGTTCTGTCTAAGTGAGGACTAATCACGTCTCAAGCTTGAGAGAAGCTAAGAGAAAATATTCCTTAATTAATTTTGATTATGTTGGAGACTTTGTGGTGAAACCAGGTGAGAGGTTGTCGGAGATTTTCCGGAGTTCAAACCACGGCACGGCCATTGGATATGCACTTCTGATGAGCTCTAATAAGAGCAAAACTCAAGTCCGGTGCTTCCCCTCCTTTGGTGTGGATTACCCAGAATAATTGCCCCGGGATAGGATGACGTCTGTTCAAACGAG